TCGGAGACTTTCGCAGAGGACGTGGATTTCATGGAGGAGACAGAGGGCGAGGATTTCACGGACCGCGCGGTGGAGATCGTTGGAGACGTGGATTTGATGGCCCCCGACATTGGATGAGCGACTCTTTGAGCGATACGTCCAGTGATTCCGAAAGCGACGGACAACAGGAACAGAAGAGACAACGTGTGGACAAAGAGTCCAAGAAATGTCAAAAACAAGTGAAGAATTGGCAGCGCATGAGAAACTGGATGTCCGGACCAATTGATAACAGAAGTCATTGCACGATATGTTTGGATAAAATCAAGCCATTGGTGGACACAGAAGTGCTTGAATGCGGTCATATCTACCATCGCTTGTGTCTTAAAGAGTACTTCCAAATGTCATCCGCTGAAGACACGCAAAAGGCTGTGATTTGCGTTCAATGCAAACAACAAATTGATGACAAACTAATGACTGAATTTAAGAAGAGATTTCATGTGAAGACAAGTGATGGCAAAAATATCCCACAAGAGATTATTATCGAAGATTCGGAAGATATGGGAGCTGTTGAATGAAAGACAAACTTAAATATTTACTACATTGTACATTACTAGTACATTGTACTTCTTAATGTTATATAAATTCTATAATTATTTAACTAAATCTTTATAAAAAAAATTAAATCTATTAAAAACCAATAAAAATATATTTATAAAAAAATTGAATTCATTTAGTTTAACATTTTTAAAAAAATATACAGTAAATTCATTATGAATTAAAATGAAAACTAAAACTAATACAAATTAAAATAATTTATTGACATACATAAAAATTAATAAATATAAAATATTAAATAATTTGTAGATCAAGAAATTAACAGTATTGTAAAAATAATTTCTGTGCTAACATTATATTTTTTTTTTTTTGCTAATTGCTGTTATAATTAATGTCTTGTCTTAAAGATAATCAAATTCTTAATTCATTAATGTATGTAAATTGAAGTATTCATTAATTATTAAACATTGAATTGTGAGTTATATTTAAATTAACTTTAACTTTATTATTTCAAATGAAGTCATTTTTACAACAACTTTGTTCTCATAGTTTTAATAGTAATAAAACTTTTGAAATAATTCAATGCGAATATGAATGGATATAAGACATAACGAGTCACTCGTATTAATTAATGTGTAATCTTTAATTATGGAAATTAAGTTAACTTTAATATCAATAGTAATAAATGATTAATAATAATGTAAAACATTGAATATCTATTGAATTGTAAGCACTGATGCACTCAATGCATGGGAAAAAGTAAAGCATTTTATTAAATTTGAATTTATTTAAACAATGGATAAAATCAATAATAATAACAACGAAGACATCACTACAAGTGATGATATTAAACAACCGACAAAGAAATCAGTCGCCGAAGACATTGACTCACTGGTGAGTGATGTACAAGAGCTCAATTTAAGCACAGGTTATGGCATCGACTCAGGCAACTGGTCTCAAATCATTGAGAGCCAAAAGAATGGCACGAATTTAAAGTCATTCTTCTTCGATATCGACAGAGAAGATAAGGTTTGCGTTGAAAAACAGACCAAAATTGGCGAATACTCTGTCAAACTGATAGATAATGAGCGCCAGTTTGTGGCCGACGGGTCGGAGAAGAAATATCTCCACATTCCTCAGGCACTCATACATCTGGATCTAATGCATGGCTACGACCCGAACAAGCATTGGGGGAAATCTTCGCCCACAAAAATCTATAAACTTTTGCAATGGATTTCTAATACCGATAAACAGTCTGTTTTAAAGGACACGGACTTTGTCTCGAGTCGATCGCTGTTTGTCTATTTATTAACCTTTCCTTACGAGCGCTTCTATAGACAGGCCATATCTGTCGTCCGGTTCAATGACGTTATATATATGACACCCATTTCGGAACAGGTGGTCACCGCTGTTGACAATTACAAGAAGTCATCGTTCAGTTGGTCCCGATTCGAGCAATACATGGCCAGCGGTGATCCGCAAACGCCACCCGAGGCCGACAAAGTAGACATCGATTTCAACAGCTATTTCACTGTTATTAACACTCGACTGACCGATAAATCCAACAAAACTGGCGGCCATTCACTCGTCTATTGTTCAATACAGGACTGCATCTCACCGTCAATACCGGCGGAACCGACATCTTTGGCCAATTCTGTTAAACTCGCGGTAAATCTCTACTCCCGAACAAAACCCGTCAAGAAGTTTAAAGGCTTGAAATGGTGGGCACAGGCCTACCTCTCCGGCGCCCCCACCATATATTGCGGTCATAGAGACAGCAATTTTGTGGTCAATTCTGTGGAACAAATTGACGTAAAAGAGTTGCCAAACAATGTCTTTTGGTGTCCAGAAGTTTGTCTGAATTTTATGAATAAATTCTTAACGCATGTAAAAGAAGTGGTCACTAGTGATGACCCCAGAGTTGTCTATCAGTTTGTATTTGAGCCAAAACAGGACATCACTTGTACCAGACTTAGCGAACCCGGCATTTGCCCCCCGACTGCAGTGCTTCCCGACTGGTATATCTAGTGATCATTATTTCCCACATTTCTGATCATATTTTGTAAAAGAAAATGAAGAATATTTGAATTATAATATAAATAAAAGTGATTTATTTGATTAATTATATAGTTTTACAAATTAATTAATTAAGCTATAAATTAAATGTTAATAAACTTTTAATTTCAATTGAATACAAGAATTTCAGTATTCATGCAATGAATGGGTCTTTGCATTGAAGTGAGCGTTGAATCCAATGCTGACATCTATTGAGACAATCGTTTGCTTTGAAAAATCAAAACATATTTTTGTTTACATTTCTTATAAAACATATATTTTTCGTCTTTTATTGGTGTCGAAGAAGTGGTGAATCGATGGACAGAGAGGACAGACATCACCGCCGGAGAGGGCGAGACGACAGGCGAAGATCGCCACCAGCTCTGGAGGCGGATCCACACATGGCTTGGAATGAGTTGAGAGATCGCGCCAAAGATGAACAAAGAGGTGGCGGTCGACGACATCCGTACTTCGATCGACAATCCGGTGATAATAGACACGGAAGTCGTGGCCAACGACACGATCGGGACTTCGGCGGCGACAACGATAGGCACCGGAGGGGCAGAGATAACGACCGAAGACACGAATCCAATGACAACAGAAATAGGGATACGTTTGACAAAAGCGATGAGTTTTGGTCTAAAGAGTCGAAAGCGAAGACAAAATCGGACGACAAGGATGTGGTGAAAGAGAAAGAGAAGCCAAACCTATTGACGACCGGAAAGTTGGCCGAAGACACGAATACATTCAATGGAGTTGTCATCAAATACGGCGAACCGACCGAAGCCCGCAAACCCAAGAGGCGGTGGCGGTTGTATCCTTTCAAAGGCCAGGACTCACTCGATTTCATACCAGTCCACCGCCAGAGCGCTTACCTCTTGGGTAGAGACCGTAAGATAGCGGACATTCCCATCGATCACCCGAGTTGTTCCAAACAGCATTCGGTGCTTCAGTTTCGGCTCATTGAGTACAAGCGAGAGGACGGGTCGAACGGCAAACGGATCCGACCGTACATTATAGACCTCGAGTCCTCTAACGGTACGTATGTTAACAATCAGAGAATTGACGCCAAATGTTATGTCGAGCTCTTCGAGAAGGATGTCATCAAATTTGGGTTCAGTTCTCGAGAGTATGTCGTTCTTCACGAACAGTCGAAGGATGAGTCCGACGACGACGACATCCAAGACGCGGAAGAACCGGAGGTCGAGATTAAAACCGAACCTAAAGATTGATAACTCAGGACTTNGTCCATTTGGCACACTTTGCGGTGTTTGTGTGCAACGGACAGGTGTGCTGTGCCGGCAGTCGTACCTTTGTTCAGGAGGGCGTTTACGACGAGTTTGTCCGTAAGAGTGCCGAAGTGGCCGCCGCTCGAGTGGTGGGCGACCCGTTCAACACGAAGACAGTTCAGGGACCGCAAGTCAATGCCCAACAACTCAATAAAGTGATGGAATTAATCGAAAGCGGTATCAAAGAGGGCGCGACACTCGAGACCGGAGGCAAACGGATCGGTAATAAAGGCTATTACGTGGAGCCGACCGTCTTCTCCAACGTTAGGGACGACATGCGTATCGCTCGCGAAGAGATCTTCGGACCCGTCCAACAGATCATCAAATTCAAGACAATGGATGAAGTGATCCAACGCTCCAATGATACTATTTATGGCTTGGGTTCGGGAATTGTGACCAAAAGTCTGGATAATGTGTTGACGTATTCACAGGCGGTTAAAGCGGGCACTGTTTGGGTCAACTGTTACTTTGTGGTCACTCCACAGACACCTTTGGGTGGTTATAAAATGTCTGGTTTTGGTCGAGAGTTCGGTGAGAATGCACTCTACGAATACACCGAAGAGAAGACAATTACCATAAGACTTGCGAACAAGAATTCATAAGTCAATGGATTTTATGGATATTTTAGGGGATGTTTTGGTAGAGAGAATGGCACTAGTTTTTAGTCAATAAACATTAATTACATGAATATTCAATGAATTAAAATCAATAAATCAATGATTATTTGTAATTTTAATTTATAATTCTTTTAATACATAAGTCTTTAATCAAAACTCGATTCAATGGTAAGAAATGGCAAATTTATAACAAATTTAATTACAATACAAACCAAAAAAACATTTCAATATATAATTTATATGTAATGAAAATAAATGATAACTTTGTGGCAATTGTTTGGTTTGAAACAGACCTCACATCAAGTCCTGAGTTATCAATCTTTAGGTTCGGTTTTAATCTCGACCTCCGGTTCTTCTGCGTCTTGGATGTCGTCGTCGTCGGACTCATCCTTCGACTGTTCGTGAAGAACGACATACTCTCGAGAACTGAACCCAAATTTGATGACATCCTTCTCGAAGAGCTCGACATAACATTTGGCGTCAATTCTCTGATTGTTAACATACGTGCCGTTAGAGGACTCGAGGTCTATAATGTACGGCCGGATCCGTTTGCCGGTCGAGCCGTCCTCTCGCTTGTACTCAATGAGACGAAACTGAAGCACCGAATGCTGTTTGGAACAACTCGGGTGATCGATGGGAATGTCCGCTATCTTACGGTCTCTGCCCAAGAGGTAAGCGCTCTGGCGGTGGATTGGTATGAAGTCGAGTGAGTCCTGGCCTTTGAAGGGATACAACCGCCACCGCCTCTTGGGTTTGCGGGCTTCGGTCGGTTCGCCGTATTTGATGACAACTCCATTGAATGTATTCGTGTCTTCGGCCAACTTTCCGGTCGTCAATAGGTTTGGCTTCTCTTTCTCTTTCACCACATCCTTGTCGTCCGATTTTGTCTTCGCTTTCGACTCTTTAGACCAAAACTCATCGCTTTTGTCAAACGTATCCCTATTTCTGTTGTCATTGGATTCGTGTCTTCGGTCGTTATCTCTGCCCCTCCGGTGCCTATCGTTGTCGCCGCCGAAGTCCCGATCGTGTCGTTGGCCACGACTTCCGTGTCTATTATCACCGGATTGTCGATCGAAGTACGGATGTCGTCGACCGCCACCTCTTTGTTCATCTTTGGCGCGATCTCTCAACTCATTCCAAGCCATGTGTGGATCCGCCTCCAGAGCTGGTGGCGATCTTCGCCTGTCGTCTCGCCCTCTCCGGCGGTGATGTCTGTCCTCTCTGTCCATCGATTCACCACTTCTTCGACACCAATAAAAGACGAAAAATATATGTTTTATAAGAAATGTAAACAAAAATATGTTTTCATTTTTCAAAGCAAACGATTGTCTCAATAGATGTCAGCATTGGATTCAACGCTCACTTCAATGCAAAGACCCATTCATTGCATGAATACTGAAATTCTTGTATTCAATTGAAATTAAAAGTTTATTAACATTTAATTTATAGCTTA